TTCATCGTGCAATGTTACTGAAAGACGTGCAGAATTAAAGATTTGATGATGTTTGTGGTGGCGATATCTCCTCCTCGGTAATCGGACTCACCGTGGTCGTCCAGCAGGATTTTTTCTGGCTTTAGGTCCCTACGCAGAAGATAAAGACACGGAGAGTGAGCAGAAAGGCAGGAGCCAATGAGACGAGAGGAAGGTGTCTGGGTGCTCACCTGTAGACGATCCGCTCCCGGTGGAGGTCCTCCAGGCCGCAGCAGATCTCCGCGGTGTAGAAGATGGCTCTCTTCTCATCGAAACCCGCGTCACCCATGTGATAGATGTGAAACTTTAAATCGCCGCCGTTCATGAGAGTCAGCACGAGGCACAGGGCGTCCTTGGTCTCGTAGGCGTACGCTAAACTCACCTGGAGATGGACAGGAGTCGTGTGTTTAAGCATTTGGAGCTGGGAGTGATTCGTGGACTCTTCTAGGGCGGCTTTGCATGATTCACGCGACTTTCAGCCGTTTGTGACTAAATCGACGAGCTGATCTGAGAGCTGCTCTAAAGCCCTGAGGTTGTTAAGCAGTATGCTGCAGCTGCTTACACACACACTGCCAACATGCTCACCGAGGCTCCGGCTCTTCATACACACATGTGGATGAAGATATGTGGAATCTGTAGGCAACCAATAAGATCTCTGACACTGACTGATGCAGGGGAAATGCTGTGGCTGGGACGTTGAATCGCATTAAAAATATGCGCACTGTCCTCAGATGCCATGCTGCAGATAATCTGAGTTTGTCCGCACCGTCGACTGTTTTCTTTTGAAAATTGTAATCCTTTCAAGTTTAGGAAGTTCAGCATGTTCTGTTCTGCACATAAACACAAAAACCTCGTGCCAAAGATTTCCAAACTGATTAAGATGTGTTAATTAAAGCCGTCTGTGAGTTTTCGCATTAAACCCCGGGAGACCGCGTAGGCCCGAGAGCCCGGACGAGCCGACTGACGGCCGTCCAAATCAAATAAAAGCTGAACAAAGTCCATCTGGTCGAGAATCAAACCACAGCAGAGACGCTGCAAACCTCGGCGCTGCCTTTTAATTACTGCCACCGCACCGATCCCTCGAGCTGAAGCTGAGATGACATACTTACTACAAATCTGCTGTTGACTTTCTCCAGGATCTGCTTCTCGTTGAGGGCCATAGACTCTCCTTTCCTCTTCTTTATCCTCTTCTTCTCCAGCTTCTTGCAGGCGTACATTTTCCCCGTGGCTCGTACCTGACACGCACACACCTGCAGAGGA